CAACAATTCTCCACCTTGACAAATATGCTCTTTAGGAGAAAAGACTTATCTCACCATCTCCACCTTCACATATATGTCCTTTAGGAGAAAAGACTTCTCCACCTTCGCAAATATGTCCTTTAGGAGAAAAAGATAACTCAACAAATCTCCACCTTAGCAAATATGTCCCTTAGGAGAAAAGACTTATCTCACCATCTCCACCTTCACAATTATGCCCCTTAGGAGAAAAAAAACTTATCTCACATATACACATGGGTAGGAACAACCATGCTCATCCCAACTAGCCAGCCACATGCATACGCAGCATCAAACGTTACCCAGTGCATGTACACGAACCGCTTTGTTCCAAGCCATTCGCCCCTCAGCCGTCGACCTGTTATACCGCCGCGACTCATGCTAACTGCCCCGTTTAGCTGACTTCCTGCATCCGGCCCATACCAGGTCCATATCCCCTCCAGGTATCCACGCTGCCCCAACAAAACAGCGCCCCTGCAAAGTCACACTAAACTCGTGTGCCTTGCCCAATGCTCCACTAACCAGCAATTACCACTGGCCAGCAACACGCACAACGCAGCACCAAACGTTTCCCAGTGCATGTTCACGAACTTCTTCGTCGTCCCGAGAAGTCCTCCCATACCAAACCCATATCGGCCATAACCAGTGCCATACCGGCACATACCGAGCCCATATAAGCCCATACCGATACCAGCCGTGACTCGTGACAAGCTCGACCCATACCAGCCGTGACTCATGCCAAAAGCCCAGCCCATACCAGCCCATACTAGCTGTGACTCATGACAAGCCCAGCCCATACCGAGCCAATATTGACCCATATTGATACCAGGTCCACGACCCCTCCTGGTATCCACGCTGCCCAACACCACAGCGCTCCTCACCACCTTCTCATCTAGCATCTAGAAACGCCTAACAAGTCCAAACAATGTTCGAACTTGTTACTAGTTAGCGCTAGAACATCACCTTCACTATAATAAGATTCATCAGCATGTACCACGTCCGTAGCTTCCTACTTCTTCAACTCCTTCCAATCAGCCTCTTCCAGATTTGCTGGATTTTCCGCCCTCAAGGTTTTCAGAAGGCCCTGATATGCCAACAAATCCTTTACCCTAAATTGCCATACCCAAAATTCCCTATACCATCAAACTTTGATACCTCGAATTTTGTACTTGAACTAACCATCTCAACAGTGCTCTAATACCAATTTGTTGAGATTAACAAGAACAAGAAAAATAATAATAATGGCAAATAGGGTAAAGAAGATAAGATTTACGTGGTTCGGCAATGTGCCTACATCCACGGGAGTGAAAGTATTCTCTTATTATTTGTGATGGTGTAATGGTGACACACAACCCTTTAGGGATACAACCAATATATTTATAAGCATCCAATCCCTATACAATAGGTCTACCCGTTTCACTCCTACTCCTAGTATGAGACAAACACTTATTCCTAATCCATATATGAGACAAACTCAACAGTACCCAAAGATGTGACTGAGTCGGTATAACATGATTCTCATATTAAAATATCACGAGTTTAATTTTACTAACACCCTCAGCTCCTCTTAGGCAAGCTCACGAGTCTTCCTAATACAATTTACCTCTTTAATGCGAACTATTGCATAAGAATGAGATTTAATATGTGCACATTCTAAAATAATACGGAGTATATAGTTATGAATTTCCTTATCATAAAATAAATAAATAAATAAACGACACAAGTTCCACATTCATAAAGCTTATTAGCACTTCTTTGTATGAACTAACGTGACAAATAAGTTTCAAGGACAACTCGTCAAGAGGAGAGATTGGTCGGCACTCACCTATCGATACGTATGCACTTTAATTTATGTATAAAATTATAAAACATGCCAAAGTCATCGACAACATGAGAGTTTTAACTAGGAGTATATTTTATATATAACTTAATTACTCTGTCATATACCTAACTATTTTTTTTTTGTTTACAATTATTTTCAAAAGGATACTGGTATTTCCCCTTTTAGATTTACATCTTATAAAATTCTTTATTTCCATTGAGCACCTATAAATAAAACATGATTCTCGTATTTAGAAGGTCAATAGAAATTGAGTCCGAAAGTTGTTAGCAAAATCATATCATATAATATAAAAAACAATGTGATTAGGATACACCTACAACAAATATTTGGGAAGTGGTGGTGGCGTGCCATGCCGCACAAAGTAGTATATTAAATTACAAATTGCGCACGCATTTAACTCTTAAGAGTCACGTTCTGACAATTTTAGTACTCAGGGTGATGTGGCATGCCGCTCTAGAAATATATAATTAAAATTCCATTTGTTAGCACACTCACGTGGAAAATGAAGCAGAAATATAATTCTCAGCCATGGCGGTGTTGTATAAATGAGCTTTATCTCATTTCATATCTCCAACAAAAAAGAAGCTTATAAGTGGGGATGGCAATGGGTCGGGTGTGGGTCGGGGAGGGCTACATCCATCACTCGATCCACCTTATATTTTCTCCACTCACCCCCACCTCCAACCCGCATCGGGTGGACTTTTTCAGAACCCACCCCCACCCCCACCGAATGCGGGTACCCACCACTTATCATCTTATTATATTCTTCAAAAAATAATATTTAAATTATTTACACAAAATAAAAAAAAAATCCATTAATGATACTAAAACATAAATAATGGAAATATTTAAATATAATAACTAAATTGTTAATTTTTAAAAATAAACTTAATAGTTTTTATATAAAAAATAGTAAAAAGATACACGAAGTTATATAAACTATTATAAATAACTACATACTAGTACTTATTTTACTATTATATATATATACACACATGGTGGGTCGGGTGGGGTTCTAGGCGGGTCTTGTACATAGAACCCGAATCCAACCCGACCCACCGCGGGTTTTCTTTTTTAAGACCCACCACCCACCATCACCCAAAAAAACCTGATCCATGCGGGGTGGATTCGGGTGGATATCGACGGGTCGGATTGAAATTGCCATCCCTACTTATAAGATCAGAGTACAAAAATGGTGAGAGGTGTGACGAGATTATGCGCTTACACGAGCAGATTGATAGCCATTTTCTTATCGGCATGGGTGCCGCAAGCTCTGAGGATCACCATACTGGCATTGTTCGTGGTTCTGAACCGGTGCGGGCGAGCCTACGAAAGGTATCAGTACAGGGCGATGGTGAGGAGGCAGGGGAGGAAGTTTGTTTACAGACGGAGGAGTTTCTTTTCGAGGCCGGCGGCGGCGGCGGGGGAGGCGCCGCTGGAGTGTGCGATATGTTTGTCGGAGTTTGTGGAGGGGGAGGTGGGGAGGGAGCTGGAGAGGTGCCGGCACGTGTTCCATGCAGGCTGTGTGGAGAAATGGCTGCTGCATGGGGAAGGGCACGGGAGCTGTCCGCTTTGCCGGAGTCCGGTGGTGGTGCCGGCGGGGGCGGACATCGGAGAGTCGTGGAAAGACGAGAGGGGAGAACGGCCGTGCTTCGAGGAAGACTTGGCTCGTCTCTTGCTCTCCGGACTGCCCAATATCTGCGCTGCCACTCGTTAGAACATTTTCTTATTGAAAAATATAGTGATTGCTGATTTTTTTTCGCGTTAGTGTAAAAAAATGATACATATTTTAATATCGTTTAATTGACCAATTATTTGTTAAATAATGTCAATTTAGTTAGTGAAGGAATAGAATTTGAAAGTAAATGTAGTAAAATTCTTAAGAAAATTGGAAGATTTTTTTTTTTATTGGACAATCGTTTGTCTTGTGAAAGCTTCTAGATCATCAGCTGTAGTGTGACAAGGTACCAGCAGGCTTTATATACTCTTGAATACATGCCACTCTGCTATTCTTTACCAAAGTAAAATTACTTAATTAGATAAATGCCGCCAATGGGAGACGAAATCCAGTTATCTTTGACTTTCAGGATACGTTCACAACAAAACATATATTAGTGACTACATAAAGAAGTATGTTAGTGTAAAGTACGTTACACTAACATACTTCTTTATGTAGTTATTGTTAAAATAAAAACAGAATGGAGAGAAAAGGGGAATCGCATATTCGTTCATCTGTATTTTTCATATTACAACAAAACATATATATAATATACATTTGTAACGGAAGGTAATAATGGTAGACATAAATGTGACCGTTACATCAGTTACATAATCAACTCATAATGTCCACATTTAATTATATTTATAACACTCCCCCTTGGACATTATAAGAGAGAAAAGGGGAATCGCATATTCATTCATCTGTATTTTTCATATTACAACAAAACATATATATAATATACATTTGTAACGGAAGGTAATAATGATAGACATAAATGTGACCGTTACATCAGTTACATAATCAACTCATAATGTCCACACTTAATTATATTTATAAAAGTTACTTACAAATTTGAGTTTGATATCTTATTTTTTAAATATTTGAATCGCAGATGAATAGTCCATAATACGAATATTTGGGGAATGATGGCGTGCCAAGCCGAAAATGATATGTTAATTAAATTACAAAAATGGTCACACTGCACATTAAATCTAGAAGAGTCATGTGCTGACTTAAAAAAAAAAAAAAAAAATCACAATTACTACTCTTATGTACGCTGAATAATTCAATTCATGCTTAATAACTGCTTAATTACACAAGAATTAAACTCATAATTGCAATTATATCATAAATCAGAGTCAACATCGCATAATGAACCCAAGAACATAAAAAAATTTAAGTACATAAAAGTAATATTGTAAATACATAAAACTAAAATAAATAATAATAGCCGACACAAAGTGACTCTCTTCGTCATGGGTTCGATCTCCGGTACTGATAGAGTCACGTACTAGTACTTGAGAGTGATGGCCCGCATGCCAATGTTATTAAAAATATTTAACATGAAGTATTTAGTAGCATATTCACGTGGAAAATGAAGCAGAAACTCTCAATCATGGCCCCATAATTTGTATAAATGAGCTTTATCTTCTACCACCCATTTCATATCTCCAACAAAAAGTGAAAAACAAAAACAAGAAAAAAAGATCAGAGCACAAAAATGGTGAGAGCTGTGACGAGATTGTGCTCTTACACTAGCAGATTGATAGCCATTTTCTTCTGGGCATGGCTGCCGCAAGCTCTGAAGATCACCATTCTGGCATTGATCTTCGCTCTGAACCGTGGCGGGCAAGCCTACGCGAGGTATCAGTACAGGGCGATGGTGAAGAAGCAGGGAAGGAAGTTTGTTTACAGACGGAAGAGTTTCTTTTCGAGACCGTCGGCGGCGGCGGTGGCGGCGGAGCAGCCGCCGCTGGAGTGTGCGATCTGTTTGTCGGAGTTTGTGGCGGGGGAGGTGGGGAGGGAGCTGGAGAGGTGCCGGCACGTGTTCCACGCAAGCTGCGTGGAGAAATGGCTGCTTCATGGGGAAGGGCACGGGAGCTGTCCGCTTTGCCGGAGTCCGGTGGTGCTGCCGGAGGTCGACGTCGGAGAGACTTGGAAATACGAGAGGGAAGAACGGCTGTGCTTCGAGGAAGACCTGGCTCTTCTCTTGCTCCCTGGACTGCCCAACTTATGTGCTGTCCAATGTTAGAACCTTAATTTTAGTTGAGACAAAACACTTTCTTTGATCTATTTTAAAAGTCTGCAATCGCTACTTAAATTTTTATTGTAAAATAAGAACACTTTCTTATTTGAACAAACATTTGTTGTAACTGATGTTGAAAGTAAAAACAATTTTGTAAATGAAGACATTTTTATATATATTCATTTATCATTTAGTATCAAAATCTTTTAGAGAAAATGGTCAAATAGGCCCTTAAATTTTACTTCAAAGGTCAATTATTAGGTCCCTAAATTTTAAAAAAGTTCAATTAAACACTTAAATATGTCAAATTGGGTCAATGAAGCTCAAAAACCGGTAAATGACCTGTTATTACCGACGATAGATTCCGACCACCGACGACAAAATCCGGCCACCGGCGACGATTTCCGGTCGTCTTCCACTGTAGAAGATGACCGGACGGCCGCCTTCTCCAGTGGAGAAGACGACCAGATCTGCTCGTCTTCTCCACTGGAGAAGGTGGCAGTGGAGAAGGCAGTCGTCCGGTCATCTTCTCTAGTGGAAGACGACTGGATGGCCGGAAATCGTCGCCGGTGGCCGGATTTTATCGTCGGTGGCCGGAATTCGTCATGGGTCGCTGAAAATTCGTCGCCGGAATTTAAATGACATGTAATAACAGGTCATTTATCAATTTTTGGGCTTCATTGACCCAATTTGACATGTTTGAGTGTTTATTGAACTTTTTTAAAGTTTAAGGGTCTAATTGACATTTGGAATAAAGTTTAGAGACCTATTTGACCGTTTTCTCAATCTTTTATATAATTAATTAAACTTTTTCGAAGATTATTTTCTTCTTAGAGTAATTACCTATTGATTCGCTATATAAATGTCATCTTGTTAAGGAGAAATGGAGAATCAAACTTTCACCTGTTTTCTCTTTTGTATTAAAAGAATGTACATGAGGGGCCATGGAGAGTGGAGACAACTCATTGCGTTCACACTTAACAACCATGAAGTCCATTGTAAGTTGTATCATGGAAGTCTATGCGTGTCATTATTTGCCAGCTAGATTTCTAGTTACCTTAAAATATCATGTCAAACTATTCTTTTCTCGGACAGAATTTTTGGCTATGCTAAGTTATCATTTGGATAAGAACAAATTTATACTTACTCTATGCGTGTCATTATTTGCCAGCTAGATTTCTAGTTACCTTAAAATATCATGTCAAACTATTCTTTTCTCGGACAGAATTTTTGGCTATGCTAAGTTATCATTTGGATAAGAACAAATTTATACTTACTATTCAAAAAGTAACTTTTTTGATCAGGTTTTTGAGAAAGTCATTTTGTATTGTAATGAGCTAACAACTAATTTACCAAATATTTTTCTACAATCAAATAATGCTATTAACTAATCAAACTCACTAACTCAATCAGTGCTATTAACTAACAATTATTTATCAAACATGTCTAAATTCTTATAAAATTGTGATTATCAAGTTAATCGTTCAACCAGATAGTTTCAAACTCAAACCTACTTAAAATGCTAGTAATGAAACTCAAAACTCTAACTTACCGACATGGACCATCCGGACCACTCGAATTGTCACATCAGCTACTATAATCGGACCACTCAAAGTCTCAAATTGTCATAGCACCTATAATATACGTAATATGTATTAATTTTCAAATATCAATTTCAACATCAAGTTTCATGGACCATTTTGAACCAAATTCCATGAATTTAACAAGTACTATGTAACAGGTGTAATACACATAGACACATGATTCTTGGTGGTTGTTGTTTTGTTTGTTTTTGCAGATAGTTATATATGACTATCATACCGAATGATATTAGAGGCACTCATCTATGATTGCATATATATATATATATATATATATATATATATATATTTATAAAGGGGAGAAAATCAATCTTAACATGCGAACTGCGAACTTGTGAAGAATTGCACCGCAACTATTACATGATTGCACTGTTACAACTCCCAAAGTCCTAAACATGTCTGGAGAACCTTGCGTTGCAATCATGTAATTACTTCACAAATTCGCAGTTCATAAGTTAATGTTGATTCACACACACACACACATATATATAAGGATAAGATGTGCATAAATACGTCTAGGTGCAAAGTGGTTGTCACAATTCAATGCATTTGCAATTTGTCACAATTCAATGCATTTCTAATTAAATGAGTGGTCAGTCTCAACTAAAAATCTAAGCTGCAAATTGTTGAATAATACATTTATGTTCATATATTATATATGCTCAATATTCGTAATCAACAACCCCACGAGTTTCTATCGATGCAATCCACTGTAAATATATGAGTATACAACATTATTTGCTAAGTTTTCATGTTAATTCAAGAAAAAGGATTTAAAACTATGATTTCTTGGACAATTGTTTGTATTATGCAAGGTCCTCATCATCTGCAGAGAGACAAGGTAGATGATATTAGACCTTCAAAGTATATATGCATTTTTGCAGCAGAATGAATCTGCTAGCAGCAGGCTTTACATACTCTTCAATGCATCCTCTGCTATTCTTTACCAGAGGAAAAACACTCCGATCCTCGCCATTGGAAGATGAAATCCGGTTATCTGTCATACGAGTTATTACAATATAGAACACGAACACCCCGCTGATTTTGAGGTATCCTTGTGCCGCAGCTTATCTGTGACAAGAATACCAGAATTTCATGGCGTTAGAATGGATGGATAGAACTTCAAGAACAATTGTAATGCCCAAAACATATCCAACTCAGGTACAAGATCATGCTTATGAATCATTGTTCGCAAAACTATCAACTCTTCACGGATAATATGCTAGCAGATCAACGTTTTTTGAAGTTCTGTAAGTAGTTTAAGTTGATAAAACGTATTTTGATGTTTTGAGGAGAGGTAGTCATCTGCTACCACTCTCGGGTAGGGGTGGAAATAGGCCGAGCCGAGCTGAGCTTTAGAAAATTAAGTCTGGGCCTGTTACGAAAATTTAGCCTGTATGTAGGCTTTTTGTTAGGCTCAAGCCTGAGCCTACCATTAGCCTGGCCTGGCCTGAAGCTTTTTTAAAAGCCTGTTTAATATGTAGCCATTAAAAATGTAAAAGGCCTACTCTCGAGGAGAGGCCGGGGAGCAAGAAAAGGCCTAGAAACTAAGTTGATGAAATAATCGAACATATATGTATTGTTCCAAGACATTCATTAACGTCAAAGAGTATCATTAGTGATCTATAAATCATTGTCAGCCTCTCTGCTACCCCTCTCGGGGAAAAGCCGGGGAAGCAAAGAAAATACCTAGAAACTAAGTTCATAAAGCAATTGAACATATATGCATTGTTCCAAGACATTCATTCACATCAGATTATCATTAGTGACCTAAAAAGTATCTTTCAACAGTAATATATATATATATATATATATATATATATATATATATATATATATATATATATATATATATATATATATATACACACACACACACACACACGCACACATATGAACACAAGATTGCAACAAATAAGCTCCAAACTTCCAATATATATATAAAATATGAAGCAAACAAGTAACGACAGTCAAGCATGCTCATTATATAAGTTTTTATACTCCACGAGGAATTACCACTCTTTTTCCCGGCAATAGAAGGGCGCACAAGAACATGCATAGTGACGAGACATCCCGGATCTTCAGCAACAGGAAGTCCAGATTCAGCAAGTGTTTTAGTGTTCTCAAGTATTTTTCCTGCGTTAATAAGCTTCACATCATTGATCGTCTTAGGCCCATTTTCTTTATCTGCCAAGATTCAAAGCGTTTCAGTGCCATTATCAAGTATCAAAAAACCATGAACAGTCCCAAGATATAGAGGCCGAAAGAAGAAAAAATGAAAGACGTCAAACAGAAATCTGTGAAAGGATAAGCAAAACAATCAAAGATTCATACAAAACATGTCTTACACCATACTATACATCTTCTATTTTTTTATGTTGGACAAAAGAGTTGGATAGTTGAAGAAGATAAATACTTCGAATTAGGACTAAACGAAGCGAAATATTGTTCCCCATGAACTTTCTCACCCCACTTCCAAAGAATAATATCTAAAAGGATTTTCAACCACACAGGCATCAGCTTACTCTCTTTCCCTTTGTTAACTTTTTCACAGCATTGATGCAATGAGAAATGCTATGTAAAAAAGCTTCAAACAAGATACAAAAACTGTGTGTGAGAGGAAATATCAAATATTACTCTCTACTACTTCAAAGTTCAAATTAAATTACAATTTTAACTTTGGTTTCCATATTCCCAATTCCCAAAGCTTACAGAATAACTTCTCAATTGAGTTCAACATGTTGGAAGCAGAAAAACCAAACAATTAATACTAAAAAAACTAAGAACACTGATACTTTGTTCTTCATCCTATCAAAGCATGAACCTATGAAAATAAGCAGGAAAAAAACAAACAGAAAAGAGGAATTTTAAATACTAAAAAATTTTCCAAGTCAATCCAACCAATCTTAAACTGAAAGAAGGAATGAAGGTTAGAGGATTTAGACCTTTGGGCCATTGTGAAATTATCTGCTCTTTGAGAGATCCCACAGTGGAACTAGGACCATACTTATCCGGTCCAATATCAGTGCCATCAGCAAGCCGGAATTTGATGTCAACCAATTCTGCCGCAGCCATTGAAAACACTTCCTCAGGTTCTCACAACACAAATCAGCTCCCACTTCATACAAAGCCTCAATTTTGATTGCCCTCCCTTTGAAACCCAGAAAACAAACCCAATCTGAATTAAAACCCTGATCAATAAACTCAATTTCCCAACAAAATAACTGAGACCCAGATCAAGATTCGCAGGAGACAGTCTTTGTATCCTGGCATTATACACCCGAGGGAGACCAAATCATCCGCAGCCCAAATCAAGACTCGGGCTTTAACTGAGGAAATCACCAATTCCAAAATCTTCTGTTGATGGCGACCAAGGATTGAAGTGATTGATTGACGGAGAGATTAATTGAGGAGGTGAGATAGGAATCACTTGTAGAAAAACGAGAGAGAACTGTTCTGTATGTTTCTTGATTTGAGCTGGAGTTGGGTTGATGTGGAAAGAAGGAAAGAAAGATTCAGAATGGAAAGTTTCCCAGCAAGATTCCCACCACTACTGCCATTAACTGGAAAATCTCCTCATGATTTAGAAAACGACGCATTTTACTGAGTTGGCTTTCTTTGCCCCGCAGTAAGATTAAGAAATCTATACTTTTATTTACAAAAATACAATAACATTCCATATATAATAGTCAATATTCTTATGGTTCCAAGTAATATTATAAAATTTTTCCTAAACTTTCGACCTGACTTTATAAAAAGAATATTAGCTAGTACTTCCGATTAACAAACGTACCATTATGCTTTTGTTAATCGAACTTATTAGGTTAATAATCTTTTGGTATCGGTGTTTAGAACACACTAATTACTAGGATCATAAACCAGCTTAGTTGGCGTGAGTGGCCGTACACTCTTGTCTCTAAAGCAATGTCGCAAAAATCGCGCATAGGCGCTAGGCGCCGCCCGGCCGCGCCGAGGAAGGCCAGAATCGGCCTCCTCCGCGGCCGCCTAGTCAGTTGAACCGGCTATTTTTTATTTATTTTTAGTTGTAAAGTGTCAAAAAATTGGCAATGCATAACTTTCGACTCGGTTTTTCGTTTTGTTCCTCCAATTTTTTTAAAAAATGCTTCTTTTGCTCTTAATTTTAGTTTTTTTATGTATTTAGATGGTTTCAACAATATTTTGAACCATTTTACAACTACTTATGTAAATAGTTTGTAAGAAAAGACTGGAGGAACTTTATGTTTTATTAATGAATCTTTATAATTTTTAGTTTTTTTTTTTAATAAAAAATCGTAACGTATTTTGCAACCTTGCCCTTAATAGAACTCTTATCGTATGGAAAAATCAATTTGGCCAGCACTTTACCTCTTATATCGTTAGAGCTTACAATCAAAATGTGATTTTTGTTAGAACAGTATCGGTTCATAACTACTTTCTCAACTTACTAAAGCACAAAAAGTCATACCGCTCCCACCGAGACTCGAATTCATGACCTCCTATATGGGGGAGCCATTACATAACGTGATTAAAAAATTTATTTTTATATAAGGTTATTTTAAAGGTAAGTTGTTAAAATCACAAGAGGCTAATATATAAAAGAGAAAAGGGTCAAATAGGCCCTCAAACTTTAGCTTAAAAGTCAATTAGGCCCCTAAACTTTTTAAATGTGCAATTACACCCCTCAACAATTCATTCAAGTGCAATGAAGCTAAAAAACAAATTAATGACCTGCTATCACAGGTCATTAGGGTTCAGGTCACCTTCCGGCGAATTTTTTGACAAAAAAATAAATAAAATAAGAAGTGACCGGTGAAATTTCCAACAAAAAAGTGACCGCCGAAATTTTTGACAAATCTGGGTCGGTTGCTGGTCACTTTTTTTTGCCGGAAAATTCGCTGGAAGGTGGCCTAAACCCTAATGACCTGTGGTAGCAGGTCATTAACTTGTTTTTGGGCTTCATTGCACCTAAATGAATTGTTGATGGGTGTAATTACACCTTTAAAAAATGTAAGGGCCTAATTAACTTTTAAGTTAAAGTTTGAGGGCCAATTTAACTCTTTTCCCTATATAAAATGCATAGACAACATAATAAAGCCAAGAATCGATGAATGATTACCTTTAGGGTCCGTTTGGAAACCAGGAAAATGACTTCTGGAAAATGTTTTCTGGAAAATGAGTCATTTTCCGGAAAACATTTTCCTTTCCGGTGTTTGGTTGCATTCTGGAAAACTGTTTTTGTGTGTTTGGTTCATTTTCTAGAAAATGAGTAGAATTGTATAATTAAACATTTTAATTATTTTATTTAGAATATTACAACATGTATAATAATATATAATAATATAATATTAATTTTAAATATAATAAAAAATAGCTAAGTTTTTCAACAAAAAAAAAAAAAAAACTAATAATATATCAAAAATATTATGGTGGTGGTGGTGGTGTAGTGGTAGTGGTGTTATTCGTTATATAATAATAATAATAATAATAATAATAATAATAATAATAATAATAATAATTGGTGGTGGTGTGATGGTGGTGGTAGTATGACGATGGTGTGGTGGTGGTGGTGGTGGCGGCGACGGTGGTATGGTGGTGGCGGCGGCGGCGGTGGTATGGTGGTAGTGGTGGCGGCGACGGTGGTTGCGGTGGTATGGTGGTGGTAGTGGTGGTGGTGGTTGCGGTGGTATGGTGGTGGTGGTGGCGGTGGCGGCGGTGGTGTGGTGGTGGTGGTGGTGGTATGGTGGTGGTGGCGGTGGCGGCGGTGGTGTGGTAGTGGTGGCGGTGGTATGGTGGTGGTGGCGGCGGCGGTGGTATGACGGTAGTGGTGGCGGCGACGGTGGTTGCGGTGGTATGGTGGGGGGGGGGGGGGCGGGCGGTGGGTTGCGGTGGTATGGTGGTGGTGGCGGGCGGTGGTTGCGGTGGCGGTGAGTGGTGGTGGCGGCGGTGGTATGGTGGGGGGGCGGCGGTGGTATGACGGTAGTGGGCGGCGACGGTGGTTGCGGTGGTATGGTGGTGGTGGCGGCGGCGGTGGGTGCGATGGTATGGTGGTGGTGGGGGCGGTGGTATGGTGGTGATGGCGGCGACGGTGGTATGTTGGTAGTGGTGGTGGTGGTGGTATGGTGTTGATGATGTTGGTGTAAAAGTTGGAAAATGACTTCCCCCAAAAAAAAGGGGAAGTCATTTTCCATAAAATTGCCTTCCTTTTCCATTGACTTCCACCCCATTTTCCTTTGACCAGTCATTTTCCAATGTAACCAAACACCAAAACCCCGGAAAGAAGTCATTTTCCGGGTTTCCAAACACACCCTTAATTGATTTCATATGTTATCCTATTTTATGCGCTACTTTATATTATATTGACGAATTGTTGGGTGCCACCTCACCATCATCTCGATCTGAATCTGTTCTATTCGATTGGCATTATCCTTATCTCCATCATTAAGGTCAAAAGCTTCAGAATCCCATTAGTTTCCATGTTGTATTTAACAATTGATAGCTTTTAACTTTGGTATTAAAATGTTGATTGATTAAAGTGGGAATAGCATTAGAATAACGCATTTTTAGACGTTATTAGACGGTAGATAGAAACATAGTTTAATGGACATGACCTCAGTATTGATATCTTTATGTAATGGACAAATTTTATACTATGCAATATTTTATATGGTGAAGTGGTGGTGATATTCGTGATACTTAGTTTGTAAATTGTGATAAAAGTGGAGTTCATGGATCGTTGTTGTTGTTTTTCTTTTTTTTTTTTTCTTTTTTTTTTTGGTTAAATCATGGAGGTTTATAAGAGTCTTCGGTTGACGAAGAATTTCAAATTTAATGTACCCTTATGGAAGATGTCTTTGACCTTTTCAAATTGAGGCACTTGAATAACAATTGTGGATTCTTCTAAAAACATCAAATAATCATTTGGCCGTTAGTTCAAACTAATGTTGAAAAAATCGCTAGGTGCCTAGGAACTGTCTAGGGTGTGATTTTTGCAACACTGGTTCAAACTCAACAAATTGAGACAATTAATAATAGGATTAATGAAGTGGGACCATAAAAATAAAAATTAAAAAAAAAACAAAACAAAACAAAATAAAACTAAGTGGGATAATTTGAAATAGGCCAAAATGGTGAAGCCTGAAATGAATTTACTGGACTCTTAATAAATGGGCCATAATTGAACCCATTTTATCAATTTTTTTTAGAGAGTGAGAATATAGAGCAGTCGTTATATTATAGACCGCGGTGCATGTGCACCGCGGTCAAAAACGATGCCGTTTCTTTAAGTAAAGAAACGGCCCGCCGTTAGAGTTAACGGAGTCCGCTTGTTTGGTGTATTAAACACCAACCGACACTACAGTATATCCAAACCGACACTGCAGTTATATCAAAATGATACTGTAGTTATAGTGAAATGAAACTGCAGTGTATATAAACTGAAACTGAATAACATTTCACATATTTGAGTGTATATTGTACAATGAAGCTGTAATTATATCAAAATGATCATGTAGTTGTGTTTTAATGAAACTATAGTGTATATAAAATAAAATTAAATAACATTTTCACATATTTGAGTCTATAAATATCGAATGAAACTATAGTTATATCGAAATGAAATTGTAGTTGTGTTCAACTGAAACTGCAGTGTATACAAAATGACACTGAATAACGGAGTTACTTTTTGCAAAAGGGTGCGAAACGGCGGAAACAAACACTGTTAATTTTCATTTAAAAAAAAAAAAAAAAAAAGACGCGCGGTGCATAATATAATTTGCCAATATAGAGTTAGTTGTATTCTTTCTAATAGCGGAAAATGTAATATTGGTAATATGATTTATGTCTACGTGAAAGTTGTATATTAATTTTTTTTATTATTATCTGAATCAATCAAAAATATTATATTCCATAAAATTATTATTATTTGAAACAGTATTACATAATACTTACTCCTACAATATTATATTCCACAAAAAGAAAATTAACAAGAAGGAAAATGATTATGATGAGATGATGGTGCTGTATGAGCTCCTGCATAATCTAGATTGGGTCCATCTCCCCCATCATTCTTCATTGCATCAATGGTGTTATCACATAATATTGATGAATAATCATCTTCCACACCATGGGTTTCTTCATTCACCATTCTTGTTCCTGAATTGTAATCAACAAAAAATAATTAAAGAGTTGAGGAAAGTTCAAGTCTATAAATAATTGGATATCGATCTGATTACTTAAAAGTGGTTTGAAATCGAAAGGTTTCAGTTTGTGTCGATTTAGTATATGTACAATTCAAAATGCATGTCGTCGATTTATTTGTTTCAAAAGTAATGAATGTGATAAAAAGAAAAAAATATAAAATTAGGTTCCAGATAGGGGAAGTCTAATAGTCTACGGTGCTAATTAGTATTGTGTTGATTTACTTTATGTGTAACTCAAAATACATTGTTGATCTGTTTCAGGTACAACCGTACAACTCAAAATACATGTTGATTTACTTACCCTTCAATTGATTAATACAATTTAAAACGTTTTGTTTTAATTATACCCGATACAAATTGATACCTTAGAATTTTTTAT